GAACTTTTACTCAGTATATGGGTAATTAGGCACAGTTGGTAATTTGAATGGTTTCATCTTTTGCAGTCCATACACTTATTTAATACTCTTTTAACATTAGTTTTTCCTTTAAGTATCTAAAATATTTTCCCTATTCTTGAAATATTTCTCTATTCTTCCTGTGTAGTACAAGTCTCGCGTTGCTGTCGTTTGAAGATTTCTGTTATAGGATTATATCTGTTAAGATATGTAATGGAATGTAACCATATTCGTCCAATCCAACTTTTCTAACTGAGCTTTAGATTTCCACATGCCATCTTCATAATATAAGTTCCATTTAATTATTCCTTCCAATTGAACCGGTTTGATTAGTACGTTATGGCCTGTTCATCATGAAGTTGATTTTCTCTGATGAGATCTATAACCAAGGAATTCTTTCCTTAGATGTTAAATTTTAAATTTTAAAGCTCATAAACTTCTAACTAACCTCGTACATTTGCTAAATCGATCTGCGTCGACTTGTATCCTTGTTCCTTTTCATGTCAGTCGACTTGACATTTTCAGTTATTTTTGGTGTTGTGCACTTTCGGAGATATTTGGATTTGACACAATCGAATTGTGATGGTTTAGCTGATTTGGATAGGTTTTACTCTCACGTTATAATACATTATCAGCAATATAGTAACTGAATCGACTTCGTTGTTATTCTCTGTCAGCCTTGAATTCGTGAGAATTGTTGGGACCTGAAGTATAGCTGGTAAGTAGGAAAAAACTAATTCTGTCAGTAATTAAGCAATTATGTATTGCTTTTGAGTTAGACGATGCTTGGCGAATACTATTGCTTAGCAGTAAGATGGACAAAGTGAAGATGCAGGCAAAGGGAATGCTAATTAGGAGATCACTGGATAGAAAAAACTGATAGCAAAGTAAGGACTTTATATGTGTTTCAACACATATAAACGAGTCGATGGTATTTCAACGATTATATATTTTGAGAATAGTGGAATATCAGTATTAGCAGGCGTAGTTGAGTGTTTATCCTTATTCTAAATGGCATAACATTCAATATGAGTTATTATTTCGTTAGGGACATGGAACTTATCGAGAGATTTGTTTATGTAACCGCTTCCAGCTATCATTGGTCCGACCATTGAAATGATCAAGAAGAATCTTAAACTTTGTGCAGTTTACCTTTGGCAGTTTACCTTTGAATTGAATGAATTTAAAGAAATATCGGTTCCAATAAACAAATCAGTTTGTTTTCAATATCCTGTCTTATCCTTTAGACGCATCGGATTGATTTACTCTAATTAATTGTAATTGATTTGTTAGATAATTGACAACAATGGCTTATATGGGCATAATATCTGATTTTATAGTTTTTATTTCCAATTCGTGCTTTGGCAACGAGCGATGATTGGATTTCTACCACCAAATAGTGCAATTCTCATCCGTCCGTAATTTTCTTCTAATTTTAGCTGCGCTACTATTAAATAAGACTACAACTCTTTTGTAATTCCAGGCATATCCAATGTTGACAATTTCAACCTCTTTACAAAGGAACAGAGCTTTTTCATCCTATCGATTCTCTTGCTTTATTATTGAATCAATTTTTTGAAACAATTTCCTCAGGAATGATCTGAGTTTAGTAATCGATCATGATCATGATTCATTCACTTTGTTGATAAATTTTATCCAGAGTCCAGACTGACAATCTCTCTTCAATTATAATTTATATGCTGGATTGCTCTAGATTCCTCCCATAATTTTCATAATATTTTTTCAATAGTTTCGACTTTTCCCTTCTATTTTTAATGGAGTATAACTCGTTGTGGAGGGATTTTTTAATTGTGTGCGATTGTCCAAATTTTTCGATAAGCACCTTCCTTATAACGTCATAATTTATAACGTCATTTTCTGCGATTATATCGTAACCTCTATTGACTAGTAAAGCATCTTCTTGGAGAATGCAATTAAATAATTCAATTTTTGAATATTGTCGACCATTTGGGTGTATCTTTTCGTCGTTGACCAATTTGAGTGTTTCTTCCCTTTCTTCCCTTTCTCTGATAGAGTTGAGATTTGTTGGATGCATTTGTAGCCGTTTGCGTTGGTGTTTTCAAGAATGCTAAGGATTATTTTGAGGCGCATTATTTTTTCTACGATAATTCTTTTTCTGGACTCGTATTGTTGACAAGTTTCTTTTTTAGTCAACATTTGATTCAGTGGTATTAGATCTATCTATCCCTTTAAAAAATTTTTCTAATTTTTCTTTTGGTTGCGCACTTTTGATTATAATGTAGACATTTCTCGGCTGCAAAATGTTTTGTGAATTTTTATCTTGTTTTGAAAGACCTTTAAGTTGACACAAGGGCTTATTTGACGAAGGTTAATTTCTCCTTTAGGAAAAATTTCTTCTTGGGTAACATTTCGATGTTCCAAAAGTCTTTATTTATTATACGCTGAAAATACCTTTTTTCGATATATTAGCAAATTTTTTCAAATATTTACCCAATATTCATCTAAAATCAAAATTACTTAACAAAATAATAGTAGGAATTATAAGCAAATCAACAAGAATAAGTAAATTTCACGTTTTCACATCTCATAAATATGTCACCATAATATCATCATACATCAAGAATCAAGAATATTTCTCTCACCCTTCGTTAAAGCAAACCATCTTGAATAGATGTATTGTATAATTGTTGAATGGATGTATTTGCGAAACTTATCAATTAATACAATTAATAAATTTTATTTTTAATTTGTTTAGAAACAAACTCGGAATTCGTACTTATTTAATAAATTTGTTTGTCAATATAAGTTGATATTAATTTAAATTTGTCATTTCCAACGCTTTTAAAAGATACATTTATTAGTAGAAAATTCAACATTTACTTGTTATATCGTACTATTTCAACATTCATTTATCAATATGAGTTCATTTTAATGCCAATTTATGAGCAAAATATGAATTAACAAACAATTTAAATAAATAAGAAAGAATTGAGTGTTTTCAAAGAATACTTAAACGGAAGAAATATAAATGTTTCACTCAAACAATTTCCCTTTTCCTTTTTACTCTCTTCCTATACATATATATATATTTTTTCATTCTTTTGATATAAAATTTCATTTGAAATTCAGATATTTTCTATTTGTTTTCTTCACTAATTTCTTCTTTTCAATATTGCCTTTATTTTCTATTTTTTTGTTTGTCAAATATTTTTGTTAATTATCGCTTAATTTATTTCTTAAATTAATTTTCATTTGTTTTGGGGTTAATTATGGAACTTTTATTTGTCAAATAATATATTAAATTTTCCTTTCTTCTCAATAAATATATTCGTTTGAACTTTGCTTACATTATCCATTTCATTTCATTTATATTTTTAGCTTTTTTAATACATTTATAATTTCTGATTTAATTTGTTTCTTAAATGAATAATTCTCGAATAATATTAATTAATTAATTACTGAGATAAAGATTTCATTTTTCCTTTTTACAGAAAATAATTTCTATTCCTTTCACATTCAAACAAACATTTATTCAAAACTTTTTCATTCTTTCTTTTTGATTTCTATGGTTCGAATATAATATAATTTTAATAAAGAAACAAATAAAGTAAGATATGAAACAAACTGTGAAAAGTATCGAAATTTTGTTTGAACAAATATTTTCCGGTATTATTATATGAAATTCAGAAATCAAAAAGTAATCGATCTCAGACAATCATACAACATATCATAGCATTTTTTCGAAATGCAAATGAAAAGCAGAGTTCGGATATAAATTTATGATATTATTGGAAGACATAATATACCATTTCATTGTCATTTGTATACTAATCCAAAAGACAATCATTTTTACAACACTTTTTTCCTCCTTTTGAACGATTAATCAAACTTGAATGTCATCTAATTAACACTTAGAGAACTGAAATCAATATAGTTCAATTAATTAAAGTTCTAACAATGATTATCCGAAAGTGAGTTTGAAATTGCAAACTTTTAAAAGTAAAATTAAAATCTAGTTCAGAGTTGATTCCCTTCTGTTTTTTGCTTTGTTTCCCTAGAGAAATTAGAAATGGATAGAAAATGGTAGTAGTTGAACATTTAATGAAGCTGGTTCTTCTTTGGAAAAAAGCGAACGGGGAAGGCAAGAAAAAATGTCCGTCACATATTTATATAACAGAACTATGTTTATTTGTAGTGATTGATGATAACAGTAATATATCCATTTATCTCGATTTGAGCAATGTCTCAATGATTAACAATGATTCCTTAAAGCAAAACTTAAAAGTTGAATTTTTCTTATAATTTTCCTGCTTTAATTTAATTAAAATGTAAACCAAAAATTTGCTTAAAGAATGAGGAATCTTGTTGAAAAATGTTTTTGTCGAAAATATCTTAGTAAGATAGTAATGACATTTTATCATTTAATCAAAATGTAAATTAAGTAATAAAACAATTATTATTGAATTCTTTATATTTAGACATATTCCGACATTTCCGCCTCCCATAATATATCGGATAGTCTTTATAGAAATTAACGTTAAGTTTGCTATTTATGTAATCGATATAATTCACTTAAATAATGATTATATTCAATATTATAACTATGCTATGGAAGTTGTAAAAATGAAAATAATGATAAAATATGATTTAGTGATTTATTTAAAAAGATTGGAGAAAATTTAATCATACAGTAAATATTTATGCTAAAATTTCAGCACAATTAATTTATTCCTTGCAAAAATTTTTGTTTATTAAAGTGATGTTAAGAAATGCTTTTATAATAAGCAAAACTTTTTTAACCATTAATATTATTCATTTTCAAATTATTTTAATTATGTTTCTTTTTACATTGTTCTCTTTATTTGCATAATAATATTACTATTTAATTCACATTTTCATGTATATATGGTAATATTTAAAGCTCTTAATTAATTAATTAACCAATTACAAATATTTAAATTATTCTCTTTCCAGGACGAAAGAAGAAAAAAAGGAGTAAAATGGAATTGTATGATAATGAATCATTCCCAATATTGATGCATAATAATAGCATAGAGTATTGCTTAGATAGTATTTTCACTAATGACCAGGTGGATTACCGTTTATACGGCAATTTACCTATTTCATTATTTGGTATTGTTATTAATTTAATTAATATAACCATTTTCTCGCATGCTGATATGCGACGAAGTTTGGTGAATTTATTTCTGCTTACAATTAGTATTACTGATTTACTATTACTTATTTTTAATTTTTTCTTTCTTCTATTTCCAGTAATTGCATTGTTTTCTAATTCTTTCATTCTACAAGATATTTATCCGATAGTACTCAGGTTCGTTTCTATTCTCAATCAAAAATTATTTCTTTTGTTTTTCAAATTATCATTTAATACACTTCGAACTCTTCTAATATTTTTATTTTGTGATTTAGCAAATTTTTCGTCTTTGATAAATTATTCATTCATTACACCTTTTTTAAATGGTTCTTAGAGAAAACAGTTTCCAAAGTTCTTCAAAGTTAATCATATTTTTATCAGTGCTGCCTTATTATTATTATTAATAATAATAATAATAATTAACTTTACTATTATTTTTGAAAGAGAATTAAAGCAAATATTTATAGAATAAGTCGATTTTGATGAATTTATTTCATAAAAATAATAAAAATATATGTTAAAAAGTAAATAGACAACAAAATAAATTGTAATTGCATAAATTGAAATTTGACTTTTTTCACAAATGTGCACAGTAATAAATTTTAAGAAGGAAAAATATTAAATCATTATTGATATTCATAAAAAATATTAAATCATTATCATAAGCGTTAAGATATGCTGAACAGAAGAATTTGTAATTGATTAGATTAGAAACAAAAGAAATACAGAAGAAGTCAAAGCTAAGTTTAAACTTTAGCTATTTAAAGTATTAGATTATATTAAAATAAACAAAGCACAGTTAAATGAGAATGAATTTTTTAATGATATCTTAAAGCTAAATTTCTTGAAAATTTTAATAATAATTTTTTGGTAAAATTTTGGCAGTGAATTTGTTTTGAGAAATATTTACTCTCAAAAATTGATATTTACAGCAAAGTTTTGCTTAATTGAAATGGCTTAATCACAATATTCGAAAGTAAAGAAATAATGAATGATTCATTAAATAATGACCAAATAAAAAATTAATGAATTTTGGGGAAAGCTTGTTTGAATTATATTTTGTTTTTGTTTTTGTTTCATTTGTTCCATTCTATTTAATGTCAATTGGAAAATGTTATTTGATGTAATTTTAAAAAGTTAAAATGAAAGTAAAATTTCATAAATTATTGAAGTGATTGAAGAAGATAAGAGAAGCATTTCTTCTCTTCTAAGTAAAAGAAATCAAAGGTAGAAATGGGGAATTTCTTTTGAATTCAATTCTATCTTAATGCAAATTTCTTAACTTAACAAAAATAAAGTTTTAAAATTAAGGCAATAATTTTGGTAAAATGCAGAAAATGGAAATCTGCTGTGTATTTAAAAATAAAAAGTATTAATTATTTAAATTGAAACATACAGAAGAAAAGAAAAAATTTTTTAATATATGATTTAATTAAAGTAAATGGTTAAAAGTAAAATTGCTGATATCAAAACTTAAATTTATAATTAGCTCTTTTGGTAATAATTACTAAATTTTTTTTTGGAGGATTGAGGTAATGAGCCTTTTTATAAATTATCTCTTAATCTTTTTAGTTATTATTAAAGTAGTATTGATATTATGATAGTAGCATGTAATGATAATATCTCAAATTGATAAATGAATATTTTATGAATATTATTAATAAATGATGAATTAATAACGAATAAATAAATAACGTTAATGGATGTAACATTTCAGGTTTAGTTATCCGTTAGCAAGGATAGCACAAACATGCGGTGTCTATCTAACCTTATTTGTATCGGTACATCGTTATCTCGGTATTTGTCATCCATTTCAAGCAAAACGATGGATTACAGGGTTTCTTATATCAGTCGGAAAAAAAATTATATTAATGCTATAATAATACTATAAGCTAAAAATTATTATGCACAATTTATGATAGATAATATTGTTTAAATTTTATTCTCAAAATATTTCTTTTTAACTTCTAAGTTGCTTCTTTAAAGATTGGTTAATTCAATAGATAAAATGTTATGCAAAAAATTATAAGAATGAAATTAAAATGAAATTAAAATATAAGAATGAAATTAAAACAATTACATATTGCAGTTATTAAAGGAAAGAAAAAAGTGATAAATGTAATGAATTAAAATATTAATGATAATGATATTAATAGAAGTAACAATAATAATAATTACAACATTAATAACAAAGGTAATTCCAAACATACGATGATATATTTAGTTAATAGTAATATAACTATATGATTATTTTCAATTCTAATTATTTTAAATAATTGCAGTACTTTAATTGACAGTATTGAACTTCAGAATATCTTAAAAACAAGCTAAAATAGCTGCAATATCATCTATTGAAGGAAAAAGAATCTTTTAATAATAATTTTGATTTATTGAAAACTTCTTTCTCATTTTCTAACACAATAATGAAATGTTTGAAAAATTCTTCTTTTGCTTCCATAAAATTTCAATTTCATTTGAAGCTAATTTCAATTAATTATTTACAATCAATTCATTAACGCATTACAATTAATTAATTTTTATTTTTACTTTTTTCATTTTCTAACATCAATTAAAAGCTTATTCTCTTTAGGAAACCTGTAAAATATGCCATTCTTGTTTCTGTTATATTTTCATTTATTATTAATGCGACAACATGGCTTGAACTCACCGTTGTCCCATGTTATAGCAAAGAATTTCATCGATTGTCAAGGTAATTCACCAAAAATTTGCATTATTTAAAAAAAAAAATAAATTATGCTCTTCAAATTGAAATTAAACTATTTTGAAATTATAAATTGAAATTAGGTGGAGAAATAGAAAAATATACATATATAACAAAATTATAACAAGTTGAAAACAGTATCTGATAAAGTAAAATGTGTAAATTTAATATTGCAACGATGTAATTTGGTTCAAATGTACTTGTTTTGTTGTCTTACAAATTATCTTTTAAGGATTAAAATTTGAAGAAAGTTAAATAAGTTTTACAGACATATTCAACTTACCGAATTACAAATGGATTATACATATGGTATTGTTATGAAAGTGATCACTTATACATTAGTTATGTTTATTTTTCCATTTCTTACCCTAATTATTGTCAATACATGCATCGTTCTTGCTTTGAAGCGTAGCACAAATATGAGAGCTTTACATACCAGTCAGAAATCGCTTTTATCCAAACCAAATAGCAGGTATGTGATCCATATTACCTGTAACATTCTCATTTCTCATTACTTTTGCATTTATGAATTTAAAGAAAAATTTCTCAAGAATAAGAAAATGAAAAAATTTACTTTTGTGGCTTAGAATAGAATTTATGCTTAATTATTTAAGGAGCAGTTTTCTTTTTCTAATCCTAGCTTAATTCATATTCCAAACTAATTTATAGTTTATTAATTGATAGTGTTGAAGTAAATTTAAAGGCATGAAAATTTTGTAAAGAGCTTTGATTTTAGCCAAAAAAACAATCAAAATGAGATGGCAGTGATATTAAATCCACCATATGCAAATACAGCTTTACAATTCTCTTCAACAAATTCTACATGGTAAACATTAATTATCTCTCTTCTCTTTTGGATATGATTAATTGAAGCTGACATGAAAAACAGTATAATACCAGCTTCAGTTATTCAAATCCAAAATGAGATAGACTAGATAGATATTTTACTAAACCACAAAATTTTTGCAAAATTTCTTGTCTAGTACCCGATTGGAATTGGAATGAAATGGTGGGAATTCTTCTTCTTCATATGTATTTACAGCTTTCGCCCGACAATACCAAGAGCGGCTAAACCCATGGCGAATTTTCATTCATCAGCTCGTGACAGCTCAGTGACACTGATGCTTTTGGCCATTGTTGCCATGTTTCTCACTTGTAACGGTCGGTTTGTCTATTTAATTTAAGTTAAGGTCGGAAAAGCCTGATTGTTTTTATATTATAAAAGCTATATACCTTGCGACATAATCATATATGAAAATCCTCTATTTCAGTCAATTACATATATATTTTTAGTTCAATAAAATTGTTGAAGCTAAAAATTAACTAAATCCAATATTTTCTTGTGTTCATTCTTATGTTACTGTATAACAATAAAATTTAAATTTTCAAAAAATGATTTGAAAGGATAATAAGGTAAACTGAAAAAGTTATCAGAAGTTATTAGAGTTTTTAAGCTTTTTTTATTAACGAAAAGAAATGAAAGTTAAATGAACTTTTTTCGTTTGGTATCATTTACAGGCTTAGCATTTTGCAACAACATTATCGAAATCTTGATATTCGTGGATAAGATCGATAGCAACGAAAACGAGAGTGCATTTGAGAAAAGTGTCGAAATTGCCAACATTTTAGTCTCCTTGAATTCATCAACATCCATTTTTATCTACCTCATCTTCAGCTCTAAATATCGCGTCATTGTCAAGGAATATCTTGGTCTGAAAAATGCTAATAAAGTAAGAAGCATGTATTTTGACTTTAGCCTTTAAAGAGAGATAAAATTTCACGGGATGATATCATCTTTGATGATGAATGAATTTGAGATGCAGAACATTTTATTTCATAATTCGTGCCAATGATAAAAGTATAAAGTTATTCTCTTACTCTGAAGCTGTTTTTCATTATGATACGTTGATTGGCCCCGTAATTCGGAGCTGAGAAATTGAGAGATAAACTTAATGCAAGTACGTATAGTATTGTTAAATAAGAATCAAGTCGTAGCTTACGCAAAATAAGTAAGCTGCAATAAATTCACCAATCATTTCCTTATCTACAAAGATGCATGCAAATTACTATTTTTCATCAAAAGATTTTGATGTCGTCTTAAAATGATCCTATGAAATGACAATTTGTTCTCCTCTAAAAACAAAAAGTCAAGGATAAAATCGTTATTGGTACTTAATTATTTGCAGGCACACAATAGAACACTAACAGCGGCAGCTATCGCAGTACGGGACACATTCGAATATCCATTTCTTATACGGAACGAGGTATCATCCAAAGTATATTTGTCGAGTTCAGCAAGACTTCGTATATCACCCCAATACGCTGTACGCCTTCCGCACAATGCAGTTGATAAAAAATGCTAACTGAATGAAATTAACATGACGTGTAACTTCAATAGACATTTTCGTCTTCATAACATAACAAACGGCCAGAGAATGCTATGAATTATATTGATAAGGTTGTCTGATTAGCTTACTCAAATTATCTCCTAATACGATTCCTTAAACTAATTAAAACAGATACAATAGAAAATTTCGGATAATTTGTCTTTTTTCTATTGCTCTTAACTTTTACTATTTGTTCGGAGAATAGAATATATAATCGATCTTATGTATTTTATAGTATCGAAGCAACTTGCGTGCACTTTCATTTTGCAGTTAAAAATTTGCAACGGAAAAAAATGAACTTATTTCCAGCCCTTCTATTCAAATACCTCGTCATAAAAAGTAGAGAAATTTGCAAGCTTTAAAAAGCCATTTTCATTATCTGAGCTGTTTTACTACAAAACTTAAAGTAATTGAACATAACTTGATAAGAAAGCCATAGAATTATTGAAATGTAAAGATCGATATAAAATAATTCTCGAAAATATATTTGAACTTAATGATTAAACTTGCATAAGGTAGAAAAGATCGTCAATTTTTTGGAAAGAAGTATACCATGGATACAGCGAAGTAAACTGGATAATCATTAAAATTTAAGTAAGGGTACTGATATCCAGTTTATTTTACTATATAATGTGGTCAAATGTCCGACATTGCATAAAACAAGCAGAACTTAAAAAATTTGCTGTGATTTCCAGTTAAATTTCCAATCAAGGATTCATAAACGTTTATATGGAGATTTGCTTTAGAGAAAGACTGGGCTCAAATGATTTCTGTAAGCTAAATTTCCATCAGGATCACTACGATCGTCAAGGATTGCAACTTGCCAATAATCATGTCACTTTTTTACGTTGAACTGATCTAATTATAATTAATCTGTGCTTCTTTTGTTTATTCTTTCGACTTGCTTGGAAATTCCAAGACAAATATCCGACATTTAATATTACCGAATAATTAACCATCAACATTCATTTATACAAAGGTATATGCTTTTAAAATACAAAAATGACGAAGTTGAGATTTCCATGAAGTATGGTAGCATGCATCTTCCATAATTTGATTACTAATTCACTCCATTGATAATTTGAAAATTTTTGATAATATTGAAGGTAAAAAAAAGAAAATTTTCCCGAAGAAATTCTGTTGAAAATTTATCGTAAACACATTTCAGTATCTGTCAACTTCACAGCAAAAGTAAATAAAAATAGTAAACATAAAAAAAACAAATATAAGCACAAAATATAATAAATATAAGATACAATTTTGAACACAAACATCATAGGAATGAATAAGGAAATAAACATTGTAAAATAGTAAAATGACAAATAGAAATTTAAAAATGAAAAATATCAAAGTAATAAAGTTAATGAAAGAATAAAAGATAAATAAAATTCAGTTCCCTTTTTGCTTATTAAAAGATGAAAAATTTTTTGTTATCATTCAAACAATATGATATAATTGAAAGAAAAAAGGAAATCATCGTTAATACATTGTAAAAAGTTGGATATAATTGCAAAGTGAGATAAAATAATCCAACTTGTAGTACGACAATCTCAAATTTTATAAATTATCTACCATAACATAATTCCTCTCAGTGATCTCACAAAAAAAGATGAAATAAATGATTGACGGCGGAAAGGATGAAATAAAATACTTAAAAAATTCGAAAGTAATTGAAATATCACACATGTAAGTACCATATCTACAGAGGTATCATATAAACATTCCCCACTCTACCACATTCCGTTTCAAGTTTTCATTATCAAATTGTTTTGAATATCGTTCCAAAACTGGCGCCTTCAGTTTCAAATTTCTTTTCTGAAACTGCACGTCCGCGGTTGTGCGCTCTTCCCAGTTCGGTGATGTTTGTCTATTTCTGATAATGCTTTTATGGATTACCTCTAGCTTTTTCAGTAGTGATTCTTGACGTATCTGTGGTCTGAGCCTAAGTAGTGGTTTAGTAATTTTGATGATGCTTATGGTAAAATCTGAATTATGATGGCAGCATTCTTTATGTTGCTTGTGATAGAACCTATATTTGTCTTATCATCTGAGTATGGTCGCTGCATCTTTTATAGTACTTATCATAGAAACTGTTATTGCAATAATTTCTAAGTGGCCCTTCTTAAGTTGCTTGTGTCAAAATCTGCGATTGTGGTAGTCTGAGTTGTGATGATAACACCTTTGATGATACCTACGGAACAATATAATAATAGTGAATCTGTATTAGGGCACATCCTGTGATATCTTAGCAAAACATGTGTTTGTAGTAGTATTTGGATTGTGATGATGTTACCTTTGATGGTACCTATGAAGCGTAAATATTTTCTTTGTTATAATGACAGTAATTAATACCCTTGTGACATGTCTGATAGGTTGCAGTGATAGTAATATCTTTTGCACTGAGGTAATATCTTAAGTGTGATGCCCAACACAATTAGTCCTTTATGAGCATACATATCTGTCTTTCTATCCGGAATATTTTCGCAATCTTGATTAATCAAAATTTGCATATGTGGAGGGAATGATGCTCAAGCTCAATCGTCAATGGCTCGTTGCTTTCCGATGTTGTCAAGCTGCTCTTCGTTATCATCAGTTATACATCTACTGCTTGTTCCACCGGTTGTTATCTTCAAGGAAGGTTTGTTCTCTTCCAGCTTTTATCTTAGATGCAAAAAACCGAAGTCATCCATTGTTATCTGGGAAAAAGTTTGTTTCGTTCTGGCTTTTATCTTAGCTAAAAAACCAGAGCTTAATAACTGTTAGTTAGAGATTTAATCAAGTTTTTCAAAAACATAATTTTCTCTTCAGGCAAGATTATTCCAATTTTCTTTGTAAAAGAATACAACACTACAGTCTGTTTCAAAGAGAATCCCGATAATCTGAAATCAAGAGGTAACCGGTTGTCCGAAAGAAGAATCTGATCAGGTTTTTTGAAGAGAAAAATCAAATTTTCTGTAGAATTTTGTTTTTGCAAAAAAATTAAATCCCCGAAAGCAGGGTCGTGTGCGATTGGGTTCTAAGCCCATTTAGTTGGAATTCCTTTAAGCGAGTCCAATTTTCTTTGCTTGCCTAAAAGTCAGATTATCTCATGCAGAATCGCAATGAAAAATCCTCCTCTGCCTGATATCTAATTACTTAAATTGTAATCGGAAACAAAGATTACGTGAAAACACCCAATTTATTTGATAAATACTCAATTTTCCCTTTTATTTCCTACGTTGCAAAGATTCTTCTTATCTATCCGCAAAATATTTGCAATTTTGAACTCAAAGTTCAAAAAATTCATCTAAAAAAGGAAGTAAAAATAAAATTATAAAGTTGATTCTGTCGTCAGTAAACTTCACCACAAAATATATCGAAATTTTCGAGAACATTTGAAGAAGTAACTGATTTAATCAGTGGGAGCATTTCTCTGGATGATTATCATTCTTTTTACAGCTATTAATGGCGAATAATAGTCAACAACAGCAAGCATCCGCATCTACAAACGATAATAATATTACTTCCAATGTTGATAATCATCCATCGTCTTCAGACACTAACAACAATGTAAGTTATTGTAGTATTATTTTATTCAGGAAAACTTCAAATTGACCAATCTGATTGTTTTTTTTTGATGTAATAATGATTTTGCACAAAATTTTTTGTGTTTGACTGCTAATGTAAGTAAAATTTTAAAGATTGAATTGATTATATATGAATGAAAAAAGTTTACATTACTGAGCGACTGTGTTTGTCAATCAGTCTTATATTGAATCTTCAATTATAGTAGTCAATTTTGGCACTTCTTTTAGAGTTTGAAAAAGTACAATTCCTCACGTTAATTAGTATTGTAATCATTATTATTGATTTTGTTGTAAAAGTTCTGAAGACGACAAGACTTACTGCTATCGTAAGAATGAAAAATTTACAGAAGCAAGGATCATAAGTTGTGAATTTGTAGGATTTTTTTAAAATGTTATCCTTTAATTCTGTCTTTTTTGAGTACAAGAATACAAAAATAATCTATCATTGAAGGATAGATAAAAACCAACGAAAAGATCAAACATAAATCATTATTGAGTACGGTCCACCGTAAGTCTATAGTATCCAAAAGATAATCGATTCTTAAGTTTCCTTTTCCATTGATAGCTATTTGGATTGCTAATCAGTGGTTAATAACTCTCGTCTATTATCTTATTGGTTGTAATATTCTTAACAAACATGAAAAAAAATGAAATAAGTTACTGGCGAACTTCAGACTAAAACCATTCATCATCAATCATTGGATGCATCGGGGAATTCTAGAAATATTCATATTATACAGAAGAGCTTTATTTCAGCTTGTGAATCAACCTATAGTTGATTTCGCATCTTTGCTCGAAATACCTCTTTTTAATGAATTAATGCTTGTATATGAAATTCAGTATAACGCAACCAAAGATGCTCTCAAACATTTCCTCGAAGAACAGGTTTGCTTTGATTAACAGCCTTAATTTCCCGTTTAAACTTATTGTCGAAAGAATGTCTTAAAGACACTTAACAACATGAAAAGTAATGCATTAAATGATTGATTGATTGACTGATGTGCACAATCCCAAATTTATTATTCATTCAAATAATTACCAACTCTTGTAATAGCAAATCTGAATTTGTTTCAAGTGAAGTTCAAATTCCTTCTACTTCAAAGTCACTTTGGCTTTGAATTCTTTCTACTTCAAAGTTACTTTGGCTTTGTTAATAGTCTCCTTTCCTATATCGCTTTATCCACATGATAACAGCGCTTTCTAGACTCTTACCTTTAATTTATGCTTTTCAGCCTAATTTGATTCTTCCTCTCTTTACCAATGTACTGTGGAATTTGCTGGTCAATCCGTTGTTGGCTATTAATCCAGTCACAAATTTGAATTTATCTACTCAGGATATGCCGATACCTACTGGAGACCTACAGAAGATTGCAGGAGAAATGTTGAATAAGACTAAAACACCTAACAAGTAATTCGATTTTAGAAATGAGCTCTTATAAACTGTCATTTTATTAGGATGTTTTCGCCATTTTAAGCTTCTCATTGTTTGGATTTTTCTTTTAAATACTTTCACATCTATCTAAAGCATACGTAGTCTTCTAGTATGCAAAATGTAATTAATCCTCAACGATGCAATCAACGCGTGCATGCTCAATTAGACAATCATACTTATAAACGGACTCGGATCATGAATCGCGCTGAAAATGTCAGACACTGCTAAGTTTCTATGAATTTAACTTCATTATTAAGCATCTTTTAACTTCCTGCTGCAATATCAAGCATTAATTAGATGGAATTCGAGAGAATCATGTAAGGACAAGTTTGAAGAACATGCCATTATCAAAAGATATTTTGATATTTTAAGTGGAAATTATGATCGTTTTTAATCGCAAACTATTTTTTATTAGAACTAGCGCAAATGCATGACAGGATCGTTCTCGCTTACTTGAAAAATTTTGAAGTATGTCTTATCGTACTTTGGTACTATTCGTATTCGTCATTACACCGTATTATTATAAGATTCTAAAATAGATTTTATGATATATTAGCCCCCATATTTTTGAATTTATTCGCTAATTTTTAATATTTGACAGCAGAAAAACAACTCCATTCTATGTAACGTTTGCGCAAAACCATTGAAAAATCGGGCTGCATTTGTGAAACATCGTCGACGACATCTTGGTATCTCAGAGCTTGCTTTTGCATGTGGAACATGCGACAAACGGTGCAGCGAACGTCGTCATCTAGCGGTTCACTGCAAAAACAAACATCATGAAGTAAGTTTTTAGTCTAAATTACAAAATATTTAATCACTAACTTGAAAAACATGTGTTACTTAGAAAACACGTATCAAGTATTCTTTTTTTATTCGAGGCGACTGTTGGTGAAAACCCAATGGGTTTTTCCGGAAGATGGTTGAGAGACATTTCTTTATTTAAACTTCAAAGTCTTTTTTGTACAAATGTTCAAGTATTCAAAGTTCATTGTCATTGTCGTACACTATAACATACATAGACATTTTCATGTTTATATTTATTTATGTTTGTACTGAATTAGTCATTGTGGCAAAATAAGCATAACGGAGAGCATACTTTAACAATTTTATAATTGACATAAGCATTGCCGAAATAAAATTATAATAATGTATGTTACAAGCATAATTTTTATATCGTTATAACAATAAAGATAAAATGTACTGTACTTACAAAGGGTTACAAAATACAAAAGATTACAAATCATTTTTCAATTGCTTTGCATTCCATGATTTATGCATTTTAGAAATGGTAAAAAAATGATAAGAGATAGCAAGTTGTGGTTATTTATTTTGATATCATGTATAAAATGAATTAGGGAACGAAAAGTATATACTGAAACGTATACGAATTTGTAAGAATTTCAGATTTCACAAATAAAAGTTTAGATGCCATCGGCGCCATCCAAGCCCGGCTTTGGAAGTAATCTGGAGCAAGATATGATCAATCTTAATGATTCAAAAGAAGAAAGTCCGGATTCAGTTCCTGAAATAAACTCCGTGAATGAGAAGGTATTGCTTTCTAACGTTGAGAAGTATTTGTAAGATTCATGAAACATTACCAGTAGCCACAAAACTGTAATATTTCAGAGATGGGCAAGTTATGGAGCACATTGAGAATTCACATTTTTGTATCATAATTATAGTTAAGAATTTTGACAGGAGACCCCCTACTAATAGGTAGAACTGGAAATTGTTAAATATTTGTCATTATTTCATCAGGCTCTACGAGTGTAATAATTCTCACTAAAAATTAGGGATAATAAAGATAAATTGCAAAGCAGAAAGATCTAATTCTTCACTTTATTTTAAAAGTTAGTGCGAGGTTCCTTTTCAAGAAGTTAGCAAAACTAATTCATAGAGGAGAGAGGGAGGGAAGTTGCGAAAGAAGAACTCCTGAATGTCTAAAACTAAGCACTTGACGCAGTATATATATAATGGTTACACTTCTAAAAGTAAATTGGTATTATGTGGTTTATTAAATTCCTTGTGATTCAGGTACTTGTGAAACTCTGGCAATCAGATGATGATAAAAATAGCATTCCGAATGGAAGAGATATGTGTAATCAGTTGTAAAAATAGCAGTTTTTCCTTTTTTTAAAATATATGCGAATTGATTAACCTTATAGTCCATTTATTTTCCTCATATTTGAAGGAATTAACTGATTTCATGATCTTCAGTGACACATAGGGTCCATAGTGTTTTGTGTATCTCATTCCTTTATTAAATATAACGTTATATGTATTCAAAGAGTCATAGGTGGCATCGCCTAGGATAATATGTTAACGAAACTTTTCTAAATTATACGCTTGTGTAAATGAGCCTTGATAATCCAAATAGTCCAATGGAACTATACATTGAATGAATCCTGCAGAAATCGAATACCTAATGCTATTCTTGGTTTCAGTCGTCAAAATTATCAATCCTTTCTCTAAGCTATCTTCTGGTCATAGCAACAATAAAGTGGTTTATTGCGGTTCCCAAACAGTTCTTGGGCTTGAATCCAACCCGCAAAACTGAAAGTAAGACATATAGGAATGTTTGGATTTACTCTTTCTTTGATCTGCTGTATTTTAACACTTAATGATAACTAAGAGGTATTATTCCTAACAATGTTTCTGCGTTGAGATTTCAATTGATTAATAAAATCTGGAGGAAATTAGTCATGTTTAACTGTTTGAAATAGACTAAGAAATGAGGAACAGAAAATCAATGTTTATGCAATCATGATGTTTATTGAAAACATATATATTATGGATTTGCTCCGACAAAAAAAATGATTTATATTATTCAAGCTTACTTTAAAAGTGATCCTTTTGCTGTCGTATGTTGCAATGAATGTGAACAAATCATATTTTTGGAGAGATTGGGAGCTCCACATTTTGTATTGAAAATATCACTGTTTTCATCATATTTATTAACCCAAAAAGAACATTACGGGAGAATAGCACGATTTCTTGTAGGATATTTGAAAGAAACATTCAGGCAATATTCTTTACATGAGAAATATTTAACTGACTCAAAAACTTTGTGAAAAGCAGATACTCGGAAACATTGATTAATGTGATGTATCCTTCCAGAGCACGGGATTTATCACAGAGTGGTATCAAGAGGTAAAGGAAACTTGACAAACTTATTCCACTCTCATGTTTTATTAGCTCACGTTTGGCGGTCATTATCACACTACATAACTAGTGTTGCAGGTCTCAAATTACTTCCATCACTTCTTTACTTACTTCCTTTTTGAAATCAAGGTTGGGAAAAGAAACTTTATTATATCCATTATAAAATATACTACAACCAAATAAAACATTCCATCAACGAGGATCTGATATTTCAGAACTTTCGCTTCCTATACTTTTTGCGATTTATTCCACTTTGCTGCTGCACTTTTTTACCAATTTTCTTCGTTTTCTTAGTATTTTTTACAACTTTCATGGACTGAGTATTCCTGAAAATTTATAAACTAAGAGGATAGGGGAAGAGGACAATGAAAAAATTCATAGAAATTATAAATATAGCATGGAAAGTAGCAAGTTGCAACTTGAAAGTGACAAGACTGCTTTTTGCTTCCTTGAGTCAAATTTCTTTAAATCTCTAAATCTCTAGTCAAATTTCTTTAAATCTTTAAATTCTTTAAGGTTAAATTCTAAATTATTAAAAGGATTGCTGCAGGTCCATTATTAAATAAAAAATTAAATGCTGGCAGCACCACCACCTAAATCATTCATTTCCGAAGAGCTTACAAATTTTCAATGGTTGACAATATCAAAACTTCAATGCATGAAATTGATACTCGCTTAATTCATGAATACCTTGGAATTTCAACTTTCCTATGTGGAAAAAGTTCACTAATGAACTTCTCGTTCCCTATTCCTAATCCAATTTGAAAAAATGAATGTTAAATTAGTCATGACAAGTGTTAGAAGTAAACTTAAATAACGATTACTTCTTTACTAACATTATTGTGACCTTATCAAGTGTTCAAAACGCTTTAAAACAAACAAATTACCTCAGAGGTTTTTTATTTCTCAAAGCCAATTTTGCTTTCTTTTTTATCATCCTGTCTTTCGCCACTTCATTCATAAGTCGTGAGACAGCGCTTTCTATTTCAGATTTCGGCACTTTTGTCCTCAACCGAGTTTGTGCTTTTGTAACCATGATGAAAGGAACTTCACCATTTTTGGCTGCTATGAATCTTAAAATCATATATTTCTTAAAAACATATATTTCTATTTCACATTCCTAAAACACTCTAATCCTTGAACATACATTCGCTTATAATATTAATTTATATTCCGGTATGCAGATAATCGATAGATTGATATGATTTTTCTATAATCCGCCCTATATCCCTATGACCATAACGAGTGATGAAAAATGATCCAGTTGGAGATGTATATCTTCACATTTTAACAAGCCACCTTATTACTTCTTCAATATAGAAAATTTTTGTATGCAAAAATTACGACGACGAACGAGGCAGTGAGAAGACTAAACGTTTGGTAAAAAAATAAATCTAACTGACTTTTTTATGATTCGAGAATTTTTTATTCCATTTTCTAAAAGTTCTATTACTATTAAAACCAAAACTAAAACCATATCTCCATTTTTTAATGATTTCACTTCATTAAATTATCAAAATTGCCGAAATAGATTATCGATAATTTATTTGAAATAGATTTAGGTGAATCCCATATTAAAGATTTACTTTTTTGATACAGCATATAACTGCTTCCTTCGAACACTTTTTACACCAGGTTTCTTTCCGGCTTCAAGCAATAATTTGCTTATTGCATCATAGTCGAACTAAAACATAAAATTTCACTAAATTAAAACTATGCATCTTTTAACATATATGCACAATCAACAACCATCTGATTTAGGTAAATGAAAACTTACCAAAACGTTAAATCATGTATCTCCTCATCAAAACGAAAAGGATATTGAGCAACGGGTCCCACATAAGATAAAATTTGAAGCACACAAATAGGCAAATAGAAAATAATACTTCACAGAACAGTTTCCAAAAACCTACTTTGATTCCTTGATCACTAGCACTTTCAACTGTTTCGTCTGTTTCATTCCTTTCCGCTTTTTCCTCGGCATATTGATGTAAAATCGACAGGAATATCTCTTGTATAATGGAATCAAAAAGATAATTCCTAAAAATATTGAAATAAACAACAGTAAACTAACTGATTATCATTTTATGATTACATAAGCTTCAGATTTCAATACAGGTTGGATCTGTACAATACATTCTTATGCAGTGAAAATGTACCTACATTCTCAGCATGCAGTGGCAATCTTAGAATTATTTCTATCCACAACCGACACAGAAACATCACAAAATCAGAAAGTTGTGTGACAACATGGAGTACACAATACCTTTTAAAAAAAGTCCATTATTTCAAACATCTTATATTGTATTCAAATCACCATCATTGAAATAAGACGAAAAATGATGGTGATGACTGCTGCAGGAAAGGTACACTATAAGAATAGAATTCATATCGGATTCTAATAATTAGTCTCTTATTAACTACAGAATTATTCACATCAGTTAATACAATAAATAAGGAATAACTTACGATAATGTTCCATCAGCAAGAAGCTCAGCGTACGGTTTCAAAAGTTCTGTTACCTGATCTGGTCCCAAACCGCCTGAAAAAAAAATATATACATTAAAACTTGATACGTATCAAAAGAGCGAAAATTAATCGACAGCGGCACTATCCAATTCAGAGATATATAAAAGGGAAAATTTCTCAGAAACATTGAAAGAACCAAAAACAAACCGGCACCATCCAATTCATCGAGATAAATTGAGGCGAAATGAAATTTTAATCCTTCCGAAAATGATTTATCTGAAACAAAATATGGCGCAAAGGAGAAGAAGTGTAAATTTCGATAAAATTCATTGGTATTTTTAAGCAAACTGTATGTCTAACCATTTGAAATAACACAATCTTTGAAAGCATTGATGTACATATTAATGATCGTCGTCTTCCAATTCTTCGAGCGCAAGCGCAGGAAAAGAGCACGAACAAGCCGGCGTATTAACTGTAAATAATTATCATATTTATTTCAGTAAAATTCAATATCAATAAATTTTAATATCAATTATTATTTTTTTAGAAAAAACAATAATATATCGGTATTACTTTTTAGAAAAAAAAAACGATAACGATAATATACGGAAGCGTTCAACAATCGCACAACTCAATTCATATTTCTACACATCTTCGTGCTTATTCCAAAGCACTGGAAAGTTTTTATTTCTTTTTCTTCTTTAAAACATTTCACATAACAGAAATGAAAAAAAAAATCACAGTCAAAATACTGAGAAGCCAGTACCGAAAATTTGAAATGCAACAAGAAAGGTATAGATTAATGAAATAGATAAGCAACGAAATGCTATGTAAACTTAACTGATTCGGTCGATTTATGGACCAAACTTCCATAAATGCTATACTATTAACTCCCTTGAATAATTATACAGTATCGTTAATACATTCGAGTATTTTTGGTAGGATAAAGTGAAGCGAATTAGAATTTCTGGTTAGCTCAGATTAATATGTTCTTTGTCGACGGTAAATATTAATGTCCCGACCTAATACATCCTCAACCTCACGTCGGTAAACAACAGTTAGTGGTTTAGAATAAAAAATTCTTAACATTAGTGCTAATTTGTTAATGAATGCGCAATACATGATATCAATTTTCTTAGGCTATTTAACCTTACTTTTATCCAAACAAAAAAAGCTACAATTAACAGTTCAACTAATTTGAAGCAACATTTCATAAAGTTACATTTTTTTTGAACAGCCAAGATAGGAAAAGAGACTAACCATAAGAAATTTATCCATTCTCCAACGATCGATTCGTAACCATTCATTAGAAATAGTTATTAACATACACTTGATAAACGAAACGGATTCTTTTTCTCTTTCAAATAAATTTAATAATGAAGCGATATTATCAGCAAGTTGCTCTTGCCATAACATCTTGTCTTGCATCCACATCACGTAATACAATCCTTTCGACAAATGTAGAATCGCTTTATCGTCAAATTCTGCAAAAAAAGATAAAAATTTGACTCCAATTCAACTTATTCTATTTTCAAAAGTCTTAACTTTCTACTCTTTTGTTGGAGAAAGTATCGAAATCACTAATCCTTTCAATACTGCAGCGGAATCCAGATAATTTTACCGGTTATGATTACAGGGTTTCGTTTCCTTTTATGGCGGCTTTTCTAATAATTTCCCAATGATAAGAGCTTTTTTGCGATTCATACGGAAGGATAATATGAATCCTAAGTTAAACTGTAAAACCTTCACCATTTATAGATACTATCAACGAACAAAAAAAAAAAAAAACCGAAAAAAGGACCTCGTCTGGCTGATTCAGCTTGAAGCCAGTCACAGAGCGTTCGAAAAGCTCGCCGACGAGTGATCGGTTCACCGGATGCCAGTTTCTGTGCAAAAATAATCTCAAAATCGTCCAATTCTGAATCCATTAGATCTAAAAAAATCTACTATTTTATTTGAATAATTAGAATTTAGATGGCAACTCGAATTCATTTCGTTATCTCATGAATTGTGCATTACTCAGTGTAACTTCTCCATTTATTAATATTGAATTGGAAGAAAAAAGCAAATTCTATCTCATTCAAATTTCCAATACCGTCCACTAGTCAACTTTCAAGTTTAGGAAAACAACATTACTTCGAATGATTCATCGAGCAATTTTTTGTGAAATTTTGACGGGTAGCAATTTACTGCGATATATAAAAAGTGCAATATTCTAGATGATCTATATTTACCAAGTTTCAAGCAAAAAGGAAAATACGATGATTCGCCATAAATTTAAATGAATCAACAAAATTATTATGTGAGCCATTATATCGTAATAATATTAATACTAAATAAATTTTTTTAATGTCAGATAAGTTTTTCAAGAAAGATTGTACAGCAATTTCGATCCATTTTATACTATACGTTAAATGAAAAGTTCCATAAAAACATTCATAAAAAAGGTAGCAGACATGTGGTATAGCACTATCTATGTATTGACAGCTTAAACATAATTACCGGTGATTTGTGGATGAAAAAGCTTAGATCTAATTATTAAATGTCATAATTTCTGTTTTATTCGATTGAACCACTGTTGCCATTTAATAAGGTTAACATTAAAAATATTATTTCATAGCCTTAAATTGTTAGGGCACAAAATAAAGTGTCAGCAAAAAAATGAATGGAAGGAAGCAGAGGTAAAAAAATCTAGAATGATGATTCATTATGGTCGAAAGAAATATATATACTAATTTATGTATGCACAGATATACATATGTGTATAATCGCTACAGATGATCAATTTTTTTTTGAAAATAGTTTTTTGTACAAAGAATATTAAAAAGAGAAAGAGGTAAATATAAAAATGTTTAAAACAAGAAACAGGAAAAAATTGTCATATTTATTCATGAAATTTCCATATTCATTTGCTTTTTTGGCTAATGGCATTGATAACACACATGAGATACCATCAATTAAGAGTAACAATAATACCACTGATAAGGGCGCTAATCACATATCACTATGCTACACAAGCAGTACCTTTGTATGTTTGAAATGATCAGATTCAAGTGAACGAAAAAACAATCAACTACCCCAAGATCGACTCATTTTTTCAACATTTCACATCAGCAGTTTGGTAGCCCGGTGCCCGAAATGCAATCCGTTATTTCCAACGAGCTTTTTGTAGAAATTTCAGTGTAGTGGAGATTTCAAAAGAAGGAGGATTTGGGGAAATTGCAAACTATTTTCTTGCACATTTGTACAGATTCGCATGACAGTATATTCATACACAATTACATTATACTAAGTTGGGACTAAAAATTAAAAGTATTGTTACCCATTGGAATAAAAAATCAAAGAGCGATGCCATTCATACTCGTATTTTTGAATTTTCCATCTGTCTTCCTTTCTATCTACTTTTGTCATTGCTTTGCTAATTTTCAAAAATATATTTGTGCAAGAACTTTAGAAGAGCAAAATATTCGATACTATGGTGAAAAAGATCATGGCAAGGTTATTGACAATATCTAATATCTCATTATATTTCTTTCGCCTCTTTATAGAGATAAATTATTGAATCATTACTGATTTCTATTTATGAGCAAAAATATGGTATAATGTATTTGTGGGGGATACAAATCATTACGATTTATCATGATCTGTAGGTATCACTATTATTAGATTACCATATTTCTTGTTTCATTTTCAACCTTACAAAACTTCTCCACCGCTTATTGCTTCTGTTCCACCAATAATTAATAATGCTTCATTATTTTTCCGGTATTATTAGCTGTCAACCTAATAATTGTATTTTCCATTATTTCCGTCATAATTATCACATATATCGTACAATGTTACCGATATAATCTTGTCATGATGATAGGATAATATTAAAATTTATAAAATTTTAGGCTAAAGATCATCTAAAACACCAAATTAAATATTTCTGTCAGCTATATTCATTTGAGGGATTTTTCGATATTTATCCTTATTATTGCTTACCGTATTCAAATTTTTCGTAAATATTCAAAAAAAATATATAGTGTAGATCGGTAAATAAAACGATGAAAATAATTAATTAATGAACTTCGATATAACGATAATTTCTGAGAATGGATGTAACGAAAGGAGTGTTTATGTTCGTATCAGTTATTTAACAAAAACTTATGTTTAATTTAATAAACATATTGTAAACGATGAAAAGATTGGAATGAAAAACATAAAAATCGGAAATATCTCATTAGCATGCTATATTTTTTACATTAATATTTCCACCAAACGCCGAAGAATAATAATCGCATTTGCTTTTTGATATCGAGTTTAAAAAAATAAGAGGCAAACTAACTGGCTTGATAAACGATTTCTTTGGAGAAAAAACCGTTATCAGAAGAATTGATTTGTCTTTTTGTTTATTACGTTAAATGTTTATTACGCTTACGTTAAATTTATATGTAATTTGTTACCAAAATGTTATTATATACAATATTATTATCAGCAAGTGGCCGATGATAACTTACTAATCAGCCATATTTCCGGTATGATTCTCCTTTGTTGTTACTTATCCCGTTGTAATTAGAAGAATGTTTATGTTTTCGTTTACTAATAATGTATAATCAATTACCGGATTTCTTTATTGATTTAAAATATAAAGCTATCTTGATGATTCATAGTAACTTTCTCGTTTTTCACATTTTACTAGAAGATATTCATTGACGGATCTAAAAATTTAATAAAAGATGTTATCTCTTGAATTGTGCATTATAAATATGCATATATTATATATATATATTTACGAAGACATAAACATCCTTCTAATCACACGGAAAATTTTATTGAAAGATTCATTGAAATTATTGAAGAGTAATACCTGAGCAATTTAACATTGTCTCAACATCTCTAATACCTTACACAACACGAAAATGAACAAGAGATTTAGGATGCTTTTATGCGTGGAATAAATAATTTACATTCAAATCTTTTTCCATCATTAATATATTCTCGAATTAACATTATCAAATTGGCAGGAAACTGAGAGATCATAAAATAGAACGTTATGGAATATTTGTATTTTAAAATGAAATTGAAAAAAATCACTACATTTGTATAGGTAGTACTTCCTTCATACTGGCGCTGCGATCTTGTTGATGTCAGCATATCATAAAAAGTTTGAAATCCAATGAGTGCTTTAGTCATATGGCTCTTCTTTCGATTTTTACCTTTTTGAAATACTCTGACAAAACACAACGATATTAACTGACACATAAAGCGTATAGAACGTAGTCATCACAAGTAGCTTTTAATTTGCGAAGCAAAAAAGAATTATTAGTGATATATATAGAGAAAAAGGAATACTTCATAAGTTGGATAAGTATTGAAGCAGTTCATTTATTCATTTACTGACAAATATGAAATGAAATATAATTTACGATTAAGTAATTCGATTAGATCAAAATCAAAATGAAGTGATTTTTTGATGAAAGAAAAAAGAACAAAGGAAGCGTTTTAGAAAATCGAAGTAATTTTATAATATTAAAATAATCAAATTGTTTTTATACTTTGGAAATCTACATTACAAAAATTGTTTATCTTAAATATTCTCAAATCAAATGATTAATTGCCACTAAACTTCGCTTAGCTTATGTAGTTTCTTTAATGCGATTCCAAGGGAAACTATAAATAATTAGTTCTATTTATGATCAGATGATTCGTCTTTGAGAGCATTATAAAAGATTGTATGTGTTTCAAAATATCTCAAGATGTGTTATGCTAATGTACCACCACCATCTACACCCAACTGAATCCCCTCTAAACTATCTCAGCAAATGGTTCCAAATGATATTCTCTCAAGAATAAAACTCTCCATTTATTAATAAACTTCGTCAAAATATTCGACTGTACCGATACAGAGCTTTCCCTTAAACAAAAAAGAAAAATAATTTATAAATGAAAGAGGGAAAAGACAAAAAAGAATTCACAATAAAAGACGGGAAAAAATTTATGATATTATTAACAACAACAGTTCAAAAGGGCAAGGAATTTCAATTTTTCTTTATATTTGTAGAAGTTAACAGAGAATAGCTATGATCGAATGAATGATTTCAAATTTCGAAAAGAAATAAAGGCGATAACAATAAGCAATGATATCGTTTAAATAAAACGATATGTTACTAAAAATTTTCAAATAATCCATAGCTTTTCTTTTTTATTTTCCTTTCTTAAATTATTAATTTGATTAGTTATATTTTAAACATACAATTATACAGGAACGTAATTTATGATAGCAAAATGTGAAAGTATGAAAAATATTATTACCCGTATGATTAAGATGTAAAATTTATTACGGAAGATATAACTGACTAACAATCTGAACTGTACCGTTCGGAAATGGATAATATTTATGTCTATTGTAATGTAATGATAAAGTTGATAAAACCTCACAAATATATGATTTAAAGAATGTCAAGGAAATATTCGTGGTTTTTTCTTGCAAAACTCTTTAATAATTTTTACGTGAGGAAAGAGAAATGCAATTTGGTGCAATTTAATGGAAAAAAGTGTATTTACTAGCGGATGTATAAATTTTTTAACTTCGTGAAAGAAGAGTTTCATATATTCGTCAACAAATAATTTATTGTTAATTAAGAAAAAAGGTATAATACCGTCCTGAAAGTTCAGCGAAATTTAATTAATCGAAAAGAAAAATAGTGTATCTTTTCAAGAGAACATGAAATTAATAACAAGTATTTCAAAGCTACAATCATTAAAAAATACATTGAAATCGTGTTTATAGATTAAGTTTGAAAGTTTTGAGAGACAAATTCCAGATAATAATGAAGAGCAATGAAGAAAAATGAAGACGCTCACATAATCATTAATGATCATTATAACTAATATAATTATTTGAGTGCATTATCTATGGCACCATTTCCAATATTTACCTCACTACCATTATATATGGCACTCGAACGATCATATTTTGAATAATAACCTGAAAATGAAATAAAATTTCGCTGTTTTGAATTTATAAAAAAATGCAAAATTACTTTTTTAGCATCATTCAAAGCCGAAATATTCTAATTTTATAGAAAATTAATGAATTTAATACGAATAGCTTAATACTAATATAACATACTGACTAAAAAATAAAATCGCTTTCGCTCTTGGAAAATCAAATTTTAAACCTATCACTAGGGAAGGAAATTTTATTAGCTGAAAATTTTACTTGCGCCCGGTAATCGATTTAATCCGACATCAGTAGAGGAATATGTTTTTGTTAAATCCTTTCATCATAAAGTATTGTCAAGTCATAATCGAAACTAACAAGCTAATACATTAAATCAAGCTGACACATGTATTCTTAATAATACAGAACTTCTTTACTGCACTTACTGTACATGAAGTTTCTGCTGTGATAACATCAGTCAAAATATTGTAGAAACAAAAAGCCAAACAATTAGTTCGTGTCATATCAAATATAGCTGCAGCAAATTTTTGTAAGAACTTTTTGATCGAAAGAAGATCTATAACCTATTTGCTGCAAAAATCTGTTCCGATCATGAACGAAGGATGCTGCGGCATTAACGAATAGCAAAACGCTGATAATTAATATAGTATTAGGTACGTAAAATGCTTTAGTTAATGACTTAAAACGCGCTGCTGGAGTACTATCGGAGCCTCGTATCCAATCGGATATCTGAAATTCCGTTATGATATTTGATGCGGGAAATTAGAGCGGATAACAAGAAAGTGATAAGTAAAAATTTAAAGATCTTAATTTAACAACATAACTCACAATTATTTACAAAAATTACTTATGGTCTTATAACCCTAAATGGAATGATAAGATTTATTTTAACGTAACTATTATAGAAACATTTATTGTAAAGCTATTTCGAGTATTGGAATTGACAGAAATAATATCAAAATAACTTACCAAACCAACAATATATGGTCCAGAAGCATCACCAAATAAATGTGATATAAGGATTTGCCATGAATTTGCAATCGATCGTCGCTGCGGTACTATTATATCCTACATAAAACGAATTTGCAAAAGCTCAATCTTGTTTGCTTATATTAAGCCGAATTTTGGAAATAAAATTAACCTCGTAACTTTTTTCACATTTCTGCTAATGCTTCCTACTCATTTCCTCCTACACAAACTGCAAAAGTCAATCATTTTAGTTATTCAAGTTTTAGAGGAAAATTTTTTGCCTTATTTAATTTCTACTTGTATGCTATAACCACTCTTACTATAAAAAGTAATCATCATATAAGAAAAATTCAAGAAAAAAGAGGAAATTAGACTCACAAAAAGCAAGTCAACGATTATGGCCCAATTTAAGCACAATGATACGACTGTTAAAAAGATGAAGACCTGTAAGTGAAAGAAAAGGAAAATTTTTGACCATCGAAAGTTTACAAATAATTATTTGTGACGGATACCATATGCAAATCAGTCAAAATAAATTCATTAGAAGCCTAGGAAAGAAAAGATAAGATGGATACAAAGATTTAAGGTCAGTTAATTTTGCTTTAGCTAAAAAAATTCATTAATTCAGTCTAATAGCTACTATTGTAAAGATTTCACGATTAAAATGCCCTTCTATATTGATTCCTCGTGGAAACCATATAATACGATACTGTAAGCAAAAACAATTTGATGAAAAAAAAATTTTTAAACAAAAAAGCATTTGAAACATACCCAAGCAAGACTAATATTTGTTGTGCATAAATGAAGGCCCATAAAAAGAAATGGTACTGCAAGAACAGATCCAATAGCGCATACCAAAGCATTGGAGCGAATTGTTCTAATAGGCTTACAGCACCATTTACCGTGTGACCAAAACTAAATTTGCTATAAATTTTAATATTGAAATCTTGAGAATGAAGTTAACTAATTTGTCAAATTTCAGGTAATAATAAACGAACTTCCGGGTTTTTTTTAATTTTAAAATTTTCGTAAAACACAACGAAGTAATATCTAACTAGGAATACCTCGGAGTGCTAAATACAGTGATGAAATCATCTGATGCCAAGTATTTGTCGAATCAATAAACTAAGTGAACCTAATTCAATTTGATAATTCATAAATTTTTGAATCAAATGCTACTTAAATGCTTAAAGTGGTAAATTATATCTTTGCAGAACATTAACATAACCGCCTAGTTAAAGTTAACTTTACAGCAATTTGGAACTACTCATCTACCGATCTTTTCAATATCATAATTAAAAACTAGCCTGTGACAACATTGTACCACTTGAAACACCCAAAATCCCACCAACTACTGTTATTATACCAAAACTGAGTGATACACTGAAATGTCGTCAGATTTATTATCAACATTTTCCATCTCATCAATAAATTTTGCAGTGTATTTAAATGTAATGTTTTAAATTAAACAACAGCATCATTTATGCACAATCTTCTTGGATTGAAAGGTGTATTATTGTATACCATAATAAATTATTGAATAATTCTTTCTGATGTTCCAATAATTCCTCATTTCATATGTTCCATATCCCATTCTATATCTTATTGTACTCCATCCATTCTTATCTATCTGCTGTTAGTGTTTCAGCTAATTATCTCATTTTATGTTATCCTGCATCTATACTTATTTGTCCATATCTTATCTTTGAATTTTATTAATTAAAAATTCTTATTATTCAATATAAAGTATATTTGCATTAAATAATAGTACTGTCAACTTGGTTAAAACGATTTCTCAACATGGTGTAAGCATTCTGTTATTTATACAGTTTACATTAATTTAAGTGATGAACAAATAGAATGCAAACAACCTAATAGTGAGGAAATAAAACCTGGCATATAACGCTGTTATAAGGAGTTTAGAAAGGCAGAGAGATTGATATAAAAAAGAACTTTGTGGCAAACAACTTTGCTACTGTTTTATTATTGCTGAGCGGTAGGAGAGGTAGGACGAGGGAGAGTTGACGGGATGGATTAAGATGAGTGTTTCAATAATATAGTTTGTCAGGAGTGAGTCGATGGGATGGAAAAATTCAACGATAAATTCTCTTTTCCAATAGGTATCAGTTCATCGCCGTAATGCCGAAAGCGTTCACTTTATAAAAAAGCCTTCATCTTATTTATCAAACCGAGCTAATTTAGGAGATTGGATTACCATAGGTTGAAATGACCAGTTTTCGATAGCTTCTTAGTGTGTTTGTATCTAAACTATTGTTACATCGAAATAACGGATATGAATTTTCCTTTTTTCATAGTCTTTCATAAGTATCTTTGATGAATAAATCATCCTGAAGAAATGCAACGGCAGAATTTTTTTCATAAGCATATTTTATATACGATTAAAATTTTGTTACAAATTACCTATTTTTTTGTTCACTGCTGAGCTGATGAGTATTATTCAGATTCAGTCTCATAGCAATGGAATACTCAATGGCTGCCGGTCCCCACCATGATAATGTGCCCGTTGCAAATATTACTGATGTATAGGCAAGTGTTGCACTAATATAGGTTGGACTGAAAAATAAGGAAACATCACAATTTAGCAATGTAATTCACAAATTTTCAGATTGGTTTCAAAAGTTACCTACACATATTATAGCTTATCTTATGAATAAACTTTGATGAGAAAATGAAGAAAATATGCTAAATGAATTTTTGGAATCAATCTTTAAAATTATAGAGGTTTTGTCTAATGAAAGGCTATTTTTCCTTTCCGTTATGTTGAGAAAATATTATATTGAAACTGTGAGTATTATAAGCATTCTTTTTTTGAAAAAAGAAAATTTACATTTTACAAATTGCTTTGATATCTTCCCAATATGACGTTTTCTGTGAACTGTTAGCAACAATATTTTCGGCTTCGCCACGTTTCGGTTCTTTTATGACTATGATGATAAACAAGATGCATAAAACGCCAAGAAATGGTGTCACTCGGAGACCCCACTGCCAACCACCCAGTAACGATGAAACACTTGACGATACGATATAACCCATACCACTGCAAAGTTTCATCAGTTATGCTCAAATTTGGCAAGCTGCAAGAACTTTCAAATAAACTGATCATTTTTCCATAATACTTTTGATCATTCTGATATTCAATCAAACTTATAACTATGTATGACAGCTTTCCCTTTTTTTGGGAAAGATCGATAGATGGATTTCTAAAGTCTTAATTGAATTAATTATGGTTGGTACATGACCAATGACAAGAATTTCAACGAACTTAAGGTTGTTGCGAATCAAAATATTGAAAAGAAAAGCAAAACAATAGAAGATAGATTGCATGGTTTCAATAACTTTGAAATTTCTTCATATACATACTGTATTGATAATTAACCTTCCAACTGGTATAGCGAAATAAAAAAACATGATTGCCCGACTGCGCACCGATGTTGAAAATATATCAGCAATTATTGTTGGTGCAATTGTCCCATATGATGCTTCACCAATACCAACAACACCCCGTAATAATAGAAATAACCAAAACAGCTGAAAATCATTTCCGGGTGAAATCAAGTGAAATGCTTGTAAATGAGCCATAACTTCAAATTTCAATTGAAAGATGATTAGAGTTTGACTTGGAGTTTGAATTTCTTCGTATTTACTGCAATCTCACATTAGCAGGTACAAATGATGATGCTATAACAGCAAGAATCCATGTTGCTATACCAATGATCATTATCCATTTACGATGATATCGATCGCCGAGAAAGCCACATAGCGGTGCAACTGCTATATAAAATATAATAAATACTGTTTGTAGTAAACCTGTTCCGGTATCATCAATGGAAAAAAATGTTTGAACTTGTGTCAAGACGCCTGAAATTGCCATAATTTAAGAAATTAATATGTTTACGATGTGTAAGATAATGTTGTATATACTCAGGATTTAACATGGTTAAATATAAAAAATACGATAATTTAAATTTCTTTAACTTAAATTCCCTTAGTGAATTCCTATAATTTCACTTAACATTTATCAACGAACTTTCCATCAATGATCTAATCTAATCGCTAACTAATCGATCGATCGATTCTGAGCTGATTGTAGTGGAAAATTTGAGGAGAATTTAACAAAACAAATACGATGCGGAAATGCATTCTTTGTTAAATTTCCATAATTTATTACCGTAATTGGTAATATACTTCTTTAGTAATAATAATGATAGTTCATTATTATAAAATTATGAAGTTCATTATCATAAAATTTAAACTAAAAAATACTGCAAAAAATAGATGCAACCTTGCGGAAAATTGATAAGTCGGCAGCTCAAAATTATCGCGATGAAATGATGAAAGAACGCTATGACACTAACAAAAAAGTGCAAGTAATTACTTACCTGCAACTGTAAATCGATCCATGTAATTGAGCAAATTAATGACGAACAAAAGAATTAAGGAGATATAGTCTTGTAGTCCATTTTTAACTTTTAGCTTTTCGGATGACATCGAGCTGCTAAAAAAGCCTTGAAATAATTAAAGATTTCAAAAAAGTAAAAAAATTATAAGGATTTCGAATTTTTGATTTTTCTATTACGATACAGTCATACAGTAATATATGATGGTACGCATTTCAGATTTGTTTGAATATTTGTATTGTTGATAAAACAATATTATAGATATATATATATATATATATATATATATAGATAGATAGATAGATAGACAAATTCTCAGCATTGAGTGTTTACTATGTGACAATTACAGGTCCCGTCGATCACGTACATTTGCTTGTGCATAAATGCATAAATGTGCGACCTGATCAGGTTCAGCAAAATTACGTTAATGAATCGTGCTTGATGAGCAATCACGTCACTAACCAGAAGACAGGAGGATTCCACTACCAGAATATAAGATTCCATTATCGGAATACAAGATAACATAGAGTAATCTTGACAAATTGGACTGCTATATAACTTATAATCAATGTGCAATCAGTGATTCAGGTGTAATCTGTAACTCATATTGTGTATAAGCAAACCAGTTTTTTTCTCCGTAGGATATTTTGCATTTGTTTACTTCCACACGAAATCATTTAATTTAAAATTCAGAAAGTATTATAGATGTATTTTAAGGGATAATAAGCATTAAATTGTATTATCAAACGATATGACCGATTTCTTCACATTTCGGATTTTTTCATCGAAAAATATTATAACCAATGGGATGAGATGAACAATAAAGAATATATCCTTTTCAATACTTCAATTTAATTTGTTTAAATCCGCAAAAGATTGAATGAAACGAAAATCGAAATTGACTGTTAATGATTGAAACTATCGCAAAATTTATTCATCAAACTTTCGTTTGAAAATATTTTGAATTTGTCAATGCAGTATAATGCAGTGAAATTCTCTCATAAATTTACAATATGTTAAAAAAATTAAGAGCATAGAGAAAGGTAAAACATATATTAGCAACATTTGCAATGAATAAAAAATTTAAGGTGTTAAATTCATTAAAGTTAATTTTAATAAATTTAATTTTACTAAATATGAGAAATATTCGTTACACAAAAATATAGAAATATGAACGTACGATAGTAAGTAACAAAAATTGAAATTAGTTGAATTGGTTGAGAGATATGAATGCTAGATAGATGAAAAATGAATAAACAATCGTTGATCGTAAAAGAGAGTACGTTGCCTGTTGCAGGTAGGGTTAAAATTGAGTTCAATTATTGCCGATACGCGCAAGAGAGAAGAGGGCAAGTTTCACACAGCCAGTTAAGGTATTTGAATGGTGCAAGTAAAACATAGGGAATTTTCGGAGAAAGAAAAAAAGAAAAAATGAGAAAGGGAGAAGGAGAGATAGAAGGACAGAGAAAGAGAAAGAGAGAGAAAAGGAGAAAAGGAGAAAGGGAGAATAATAAATCAATGTAATTTCAAAATTTTTTGTTTCTCTCAAAATTATTCAAATTATTAGAAATTTCTAAGTTTTTGTAAATTACACTTATATTTTATAAAAAAAGAAGCTATTTGTGACAGCCGTGGATTATACATTGCGATATCTTTGAAACTATCACACAAAATATTGTTTGTTTATTGCTTAAATTTCATGGAAATTTTACTTCCGTTTCAATAAGATAAGCATAATATTTTATATTTACATTATAATTGCATTTAAATTGAACATTTTTATTTATTTTCCTTCCTTATTCTTATCATAGTTATTCACCCCTTTTTGTGGATGGATCTCTTTACTGTTAATATAATCGTATTTCAACTAATCCTTAATTGTATGAAAAAATTTTTTAATTTCAAATTCACAATGCTTTGGTATATAATACAATAATAAAATATTCGAAAATATTATTAAAAAGCTAACCTATTATTGGTGCTATCATGTAGTTTTTCAAAATATTTGTAACAAAATGAATCCGATTTGAATGGATCATTTGATAATATAATTTTGATTATTCCATCATTTTGCATTGCTTACACTGCGCTTCTGTGACTTCTGATTCAGAAGATTATTATGCTAAATGTAATCATTCATAATAAATCTGTTAAAGGTTGTCAGGAAATAAAAGAAGAAGAAGAAGAAGAATCCTTTTAAGAATGGTAGAACAATTGGAAGAAGAAAAATCGAATGATTTATTATATTCTCTTGTTTTTATATATTCTAGATGATAAAATAATAGAAAGCTGATTGATGTATTTCGTGGCATTTGTTAATTTAATTATTTTCATCTTTCTTTTTTTTTTCAATTTCATTTAGTTTTAAAATCAGACAGCCTCAATACATTATTCCCTTATAAAGTAATAAATAAATGAATTAAATATATTAATTTGATATTAATGAAGAATAAAAAATAAGTGATTGATGAAATGGGAAGAAATTAAATTCTCATTCAAACTAAATTAATTTTACATATTCTTTTTGACATTCTATAAAGAGCAAAAAAAGAAGTAAGAAAAATGGGATTTTTGATGTGAATGAAAAGTAAGACAGAAATGAAATTAGATATATCACACGAAATACTATATTATATTATATATCTAATTTATCATATGGATCAGATCTGAAAGATAGGAAAAAAATAATTTCCTCGTTTTTTATTATTCTGTTCTCATTATACTCAACTTTTAATTAGTATAAAAATGAGATAGGTAGAATATTCTTTTGAACTTTAAGAGTGAATAATCTAAGCCGCTATAACTTATTGGATTTAAAAAAAACAAGAAAATAAAACTTACTAAAATTATTAAATGATTTTATCAGTTTCGTGGCTTATTGAAATTGAAATAGTGAAAAATATAATGAGTTTGGTACGTTTATGAAAGCGAATTAAGCAAAAGTAATAATTTAGCAGTCATCCGATAAATTCAGGATAGATGGCTATTGATGATAATGATGATAGTATTGAAATTTGGTTTCACTTTGAAAGTGTTTCCACTATTACCAACAACGGGAAATTCAATATTATCTAATTGGACTACAACTTCAGCAAATATATTTCTTTATGCTGCAAAATAATCGAAAGGAAAGATTAGACATTAATTATTAAAATTTGAATTTTTTGTAGATACTAGAAAAAATCAACTCTCTGAATTTAACAAATCGTTTCAGCATTATTCTGAAAACCGGTGCATGTAATGGTAATAATGATGAAAGAAACTAAAATGATTAGCAAGCTATAATAATACTTCAAAAAGTATAACAGCAAATATTTCAATGACTTTCAAATCAAAAATTCAAAAATCAAAAATTGGAAATAATAAATCTGAAGATATGGTGTGAATTTAGGTTATTTCAATGAAGGAGCAGCATTCAGCATGATAACAATTGAAATTTTCAATAACATAACAATAGTTGAGATTTTCAGTAACATGATAATATTTGAGATTTTCAGCAACTGCAAGAGAGACTTATACGAAATCATAATTTTGTCCTGAAAATTATTAGCTATAATAAAAATTAAATTTTAATGATTTTAAAAATTCCTCTTATCTAAATTGAGAAAAAATTAATGATGGAAAAGGCCATACTATAAACGAAATGATTTTTTCCGTTTTCTCCATACCATCCATTATCAGGTCGATTTCCAACTTTAAAAAGAAGTTAAAAGTAGGACGAATAAACGAAAGGAAAAAAGCGTCGTTATACATTTTTAAATCACATCTGACGATAACATTTTCATGCATATAAGGAGTGAAATTATTTTAAAAGGAAAAATCGTTCATCATCTCATTATCATTTGATAACAGACATTGGAATGCATGAGAAACCGAACTAATAATGAATAAAAACGGGTGAAATTAAAGTAATGAAGATTTTAAAATCGAATTGTTGTGAAAACTAAATTTGCATATATAGAAAGAAATCCATAAATAAAAATAACAAAAGTATTTTCTTTTCTTCTAAAGAAACTTTCCGAATTGCCTGAAGGAAATTTTCCAGTATTGCCAGAAATGTCAAGAAATTCCTAACATATTTCGATAAGTTGCGGTTATTTTCGCTTTTGTAATATACTTAATGTATTCTACAAACAAATCCACCTTAATTGATGAAATGAAAGTTTGCAAGTACCACTCTTTTGTCTAATAATTAATCGTTTTTCTGCAATGTCATTTAGAATTTCTTCCTTACTAATTCATTAAGAGATTTTTTTTGTGCTCATACTTTAGTTAATTTCTAGCATCTACTCAGTAGAGGCAAATTTTTGAATAAATCAGATATCAGTGATTAACCCTACCACATCTCTAAATTTCTTTCCGAAATTCGAAAAAAAAACTTGGCTGTTCTTGCACAAACTGTCGGCACCTTTACCCGTCTTTCACAGAAGTTACTGGGCTCTGTGGATTGTTTGGCATCGAATGGCCAAGAATTTCACTCAGTTTTACTGACCTTTCGTCAATTCGTGCCTTTCAGCAATTCGGTCCAACATATCCTATTTCTATCGAATATAATTCTCTTCCTCCACTCATTTTGACACTTTAATTGGCTTCTCAAAACAAACTTTCTCAACATGAGAGACTTTGTCGTGTCAAATTTACCGCCGATACTGCTTTATTTCACCACTAAAAGCTTTCACTCTCATCTATTATGAAATAACGTCACTATTAGATGAAATAATTCTCATCAATTATGCATTAATACTGCTACCGCTAAACACATATGTTTAGTACAATTATAGATTTAAAAATTGATGAGAAATTTTATTATGTTCCTAAAAATAAAGGCAAACAATTTTTCTCGTTTCTGTTTGAAACAAAAAAATGAAGATTACGATGATTTGATATTATTAAGAATATCAATAAGATATTAAAATTTCAACGATAGGAAAATTTTCATTTATATTGATATTTTTCTATCCCGCAGTGTATCGACTTTTTATTTTTTTCATCTTGTTTTCTAATAATTCATCTCAAATACAATCAAGTTTAACCACAATATCCCAATTTATACTATTTCTGAAATCTTGAAAATAAAGAAAACTAAAAGCT